TTTGACCCGCATGTCCAACAACATACCTCAGAACATTGCCGTGTCATTAATTTGCGTGTTATGCAATGAGTTGTTTTTGAGCAGTATCTTAAAGCGGGGCACGTGATAGCACAATGTTACATACTGTAAGATGCATGAGAGGGTGCAGTCTTGTTAGTATGGTATGTGTACGGCTTGTGATGTGACATGATAGCAGTAAAAAGAGGTGACTCCAGAAGTTATCGCTCCGAGAGCTCAATCAGTCATCGGGTTTCATTGAAAACACTTGGATAAGGACACTAATGGATAACAATTACAGTCACAATCGTCAACACACAGTGTGATCAATAACGCGACCTTACTGGCAGAAAAAGCTTGACAATAAATGCCAACGCTGCAAGGGCATGTTTCAGGGAGCCTTTATAGAAAACAGGGGACATTTAATATAGACATTGTAATTGCACTCAACCTGCACTCAATGTCCATGTGACCTATTCTAGAAATGCAACCTTGAACAACACAACACTTTTCCCTTAAAGACCCTTATTTGTGTCCCGTGTGAAACAAAAAATCCAAGTTGAGTTGTTTTGATGTATTTAACTCTTGCAGACTTAAGTAACAAACATACAAACAAACCTGTTCTGTCTGTTAGGTGTTAAGTTGTTTAAAAGGCTAAATGCTCGTCTTTTGCAGGGAGAATATGCTAAATAATTGAGCGCTATCTAAATTACCATGCACTAATACGTATAATATCTTCTATTAAACTAAAGCTAAGCAAAACAGGACTGAGTAAGTTTCACAGGATCATCCAGTCTTTAATCTATCTTAATTCTTAAGATAATTTGAATAGCAGTACATACAGTAGCACTCCCTGTTTATTTAGAAGACAGGCGGGTCTGTTTTGTAAGTGACAATGAATGAACTTAGTGATATACTCTAACAGTAATTCATAAATCAGCTGTCACAGCTTCAAGCACATTTTTAAGCTAGGCTGTGAAGAATGAGACCCTAATGAAGCATCGAGAAGGAAAAAATACGAGGCTCAAGAATGGAGCCCTGAGGCACACCATATCCTCAAGATGAAATATAGTTCCCATCATAATCTACACATTTCATTTTAGTTTTGTGAGGGGGGAATGCAAACCCTTAAGTGCCACTCCAGGGTTTAAAGTAATAAATCATAGTGGCGTGAGCATCAGTGGTGTCAAATGGAGCACTTAAATCCAACAGCAGCAAAATGGGCAAATGCCAATTTAGAAAGGCTTAGGTGTCAATGGAAAGAAGTGTGTGAGAGTGTATGCCATTAAGCCATCACCTCCCTTCACAAACAAATCCACCCTGCTGATAATGGAAACAACAACAGAGCTCAAGGTTGTCCATGGCTTAATTAGTCCCAATGACACCTGGGTATCTGTAGATTAGAACTTTCTTTTACAACAATATTATTGATTTTCAACAACAACTTACAATACCAAAATATTCAGCTATTATACGGCTCCACATTCATCTACTGATTGGAACTTATTTACTAGGTGTAGTGATTTCTGAACTGGAGTTGGTATGGATATAATAACAAACATTAACAGGATCACGTGGTTACAATTTTAGCAGACTATTTCTATGTAGCATGTCTTGTAAAATATCCATCTGGTCAGCAAAGATCAACACTAACATCAAACTACCTGCAGTTGCAGTTTTTTTCTTGGATGCACATAATCTAACTCTGACCTTCTTTGTGTCACCATCTGTCTCTCTTAAATGCAGCATGGTGTGTTATCTCATGCTTTAACCCAAACTGAAGCCGAGTCCTCACTGAAAGGCTGCTGTGGCGACCTTCTGACCCCGCTGCTATTATGCCACATGACGTAAGCGAACAACACTACTGCATAGGGCATCTGGCTGTCCAGTCAGACTGATGAAAACACAGGGGTTTTATTGGAAATTTAAAAACTGAAAGATTATGACACAGCATGTTATGACATTGAGTAAAGGGACAGGTTAGAAAAGACGGTACATCATCCTGACATGTGTGTAAGATTATGTGGCGAGGAGTTCAATGAGGCGGCGGGGCATCAGAAGCGGCTTTGGCATGAGCGCAGAGGTTTTTTTTTTTTTCCCACTCTGTTCATAAAACAACTGCTGGGAACACACATTATGCACAGTACGGACGGGAACATACTGTACTGAAAAAATCTGTAGCCGGTGTGCTGCCTGATACCAAATATACATGCCATACTTCAGTTTACAGTACTCTATGCTGCATTTAGTAAAGATAAGATACCTTTGCAGAGGGGAAATTCAGGTGAGCTACGTCCAGTCAACGAGTGAAACAACTTAAACGACCTATAGAACAACAGTCAGAAGTATGTATTTGCATGATCCATCATCATAGCACTACTTTTTTTACAATCGGAGCCAATGCCTGAAATCAGTGTCAATATTTTTACTACAACCCTACATTTCCAAAGTTTAATTGTAGCCTTGGGATCTTTGTTCAATTCTCCCCAATTTCTACTTTCTATCTGACAAATGAAGTCTATATTAATGCAGTTAATTGACTGTTTAAGTCTGGAAATACGCTGGATCCTACATTTCCCATATTCCCATGCAACATAATAGGTGCTTTTCATTACACCCTACATTGTGGATGAGCATTTTTAAACTTTAGGGCTCTGAAAACGCCAATATGTGAATGCTGCGTAAAAGCAGCAAATGTATGCGTTTCAAAACAAAAGTGTATAAGTGTGGATGTAGTTTTTAAAAGGCTACCTCCAGAGAATAGTTTATAATAGTTTAAGCGCATCTTTTATGAACTGTACAACTAGTGTAGATAATCAATGGGAAGCCTTTTGGCAAACATATTTATCAATGTGTCAGCGAGCAGCAGGAGACAGGAAGTGTTTATGACAGTCTGTGCAGCCACACATCACCAACAAGTCCCTCAGTGAGGAGGCTGACGCACTGCTTAATCATTGGCCATGTCTAGGGGGGATTTTAGCTCTGTTTCTCTCCCTTTCCTCCATGCCCAAATCTCACTCAGTCCTACACCAGCACACTACAACAGCCCCCCCCCCCCCCCCTTTCCTCCTGCTCCTACTCCCCTTAGTCCCTGTGCTCTCTGATGAATGCCACGGAAGCAGTGACGTCAGTTGTTTACTGTCTTGTAGCTCGCTGCTAGTTGCAGTGCAGCAGCACATCCAGCAGGGCTTATGTAACGCTGCATGCTGCATGACAGGCCGTTTACTGCAGAGTGTGTGGGAGGGGGTGGGGGGTTTAGGGGGGCTTATGCTGCAGCCTGCACGCCACCATCACTCCCACATCAGCACCGGTGCATGCACATACTGTACTTACACCATAAGCTCTTCACTGCATGGTGAAGTACTGTAAACACACAGTGGGTTCATATATAGTAGCTCTAAATGGACCTCCTCCCTCCACACACACATATCCCAGGATCCTCCACTGCAGCACAGACAGGTAAACCACACTGACTCAGGAGCTCCTCTTGCACAGACACACATTGCCCCCTGTCGGACGCAGGAAACAACACCAAATTTGGGTTGTGAGGGACTTCCTTCCACTAGGCTGAAGGGATTTCAGTCTTACAGAGGAATCACTAACTAAAGTTTAAATAAATAAAAACATGTGGAGCTTTAGTTTTTTTCAATGCTTTAAGTTTCACTCATTGTGTATTACAACTCAGGGTTGACAGAAGTATTTAGATCCTTTATTTTTCTTGGATTTTTTACTTTTACTGCATGTAATGAAATATGTTTTGTATTTATGTTTGTCCGTTTTGGAATTCAAGTACATTCCATTGACATACTTTATTGATTTATTGAACAAACACACACACCCACACACAAACACGTACACAGGTCAAAGGTTAGGATCAATAACTGAACAGTTTGTCTCTGGATTCTCTGTTTTGCTCCAACACACTGAAGCTGTCATCCACATAAATGATTCAACTGCACATAAATTGCTCATGAGGTGCAAACCGTACATACTTTTATTGGGAACAAGACATCACTGGCATGATTTTGAATTTCTTCACAGGTAATGGCTCGTACTTGGCGAGCATTAACCAAGCTGCCACCTAATGCTTTGGCTGTCAAAACAAGTTCATGATGGGAATAAAGCACAAGGTTAAAAGTCGTGACGCTGTTATCCAACATGAGCAGGCAACACACATACACACAATACAATCACCTTATACGAAGGGTGTGTGCATTCAAAGGCTTTTAACCTTCAGATAAGACCTTTTTTCTTGTTTTTTCAGGCATAAAATATGTTTGTGCAGCCTTTAATGACAGAATCTATTACATGTAAGGACAATAACAACACATACTACAATGTTCAGGCCAAATATCACTACTAACAAACGTACACCCATGCCAGAATATGTGTCATGTGCATTAACATATTTTAAAAAATGTACCTATTTAAGGACAAGGGTTAATTGTTTATACAACTACCTGCTACCAGAGCACTCATAACCAAATATGTCTTCCTAAGAATTGTAATGAAGATAAACGCCTTCTTGTGGTATGCAAGTATGCATTCCGATGTTTTTACTACACCATCAGTCCTGGCTGACTGGATCCAGAGCCCTGATGGTAAACAAGCTCCCATAGCAGCTCAATACCGCACTCTGCTGGTACAAAGTGGAACAACAGTACTATGTCTGCTGGGAATTTACCATGGCAAAGACTGTAAATAAAGAATGTACACGTTTTTCGAGATTATGTTTTAATCCGACAGAAAATCACTTTTTGATACAGTAATATAACATAAATAAATACATATTATTTGTAATATATTAGCAAGATATGTACAACAGAGAAGAAATTCAATTATTATAATTGTACGACATATAATATGGCATGTATTATAAATTGTTAAACATGGGAAAAATGTGAGATTTACAAGACTAAAATTAAGTAAATAAATATTTCAAATCACAAATCCACCTTGTGAGGCAACAAAGATTCCGGTCTTGTTTCTAGGGGGCCGTTTTATCTGCACGTACCTACGTTGAGAACAAGGAAGTGGTCAACATGTAGCTCAGGTCGTATACTTCTTCTTTGCAAGATAAAACGATCAAGGTAACACTTCAAACTCATATATTTCATTATTGTTACATGTTATGTATCGTTACTGCTCCTCATATTAAGCTAGAGAAAAACACTTCCCACTTTGGCGGTGTGTTTTTAAAATGAAGCAGGGCTAACGTTTAATTTATTTACTTTTAGCTGCATCTTAAAGGCATATAACATAATGCTGCCATTAAGAACTCGCAATTATTTATAAATCTTGCCTTATTTGTCGGCAAGTGCCCGCAATTTATATGGAAACACGACACTATACACCGCGGAAGTCTTATAACAACAAATACTTTTATTTTGAAAAATGAACTAGCTGGCAGTGGCATTTGGTTTGAAAGCAGGAAGTGTGAATATAATACATTCAAACATACGCCCAGAAGCAAATAACCATTGCGAACAGCTTTTTATGTTAAACGTCTTATTAAATGTAATGCTTTCTGCTGCGTTCACTTTCTTCGTTTAACTCTGCCTGCTGCTTTTCAGAATAAAAGAGCTCTTGTTGTTTGGAGACATGTCACAACATGTTGAAGCTTGAACTCTGAGGATCAACGATCTGCAACTACGTAGTAAGTGCTATTGTAAGAATGATGTAGACGTTTTAATGTGACTTTGGTAAAATAATGATTTCACGTGGTTTGTAGATTTATTTATTTTCCATTGATTCCAGTGTTGTATTGTTCATTTATTCAAACAGGAGATGCAGGCAGTCCATTTTCTTTCACCCAATACGACAACTTGTTTAGCAAAAAATGAAAATAAAAAGTTAAGCCACAGATTTGTATTTTTGACTAGCTTCTTCTGTAAGAGAACTGTATTTGTTTAGTGCAAATTACTTGTTGTTTATATGCTTACGTTATACTAAGCCTGTATTCATTATCAAAGTGCAGTTTTATTGTGGAAATCAAAAACATCTCCTTCACCTCCACACGATATAGATTATTTATGAAAATGCAATTGTTTAACCAATTGCTAATATTGAAATATTGAAATGAAATGCAAAAAATATGGTAAGTGTTAACCTCAAATATTTTCATTCTTCGCATTTATTTAGGCAAGAATATTACACTAAAATACTCATGTCAAAATAATTAGACATGCCACTAAAACATTTTTCCATTATTGATTTAAAATGCAGATTATTTTCTCAATTTGAAGATAAATACTTTGGTTTATACAAGTGAAATGCCCATCTGTATTTATTGAAAATAATGAACTATTAACAACCTACAAAGTGGATTGGTAATCACATTTTTTTTAAACGTGTTACAGATTCCACCATGGAGGGATCTTCTAAAAGTGATGCAGCTGCTCAGCCCTCTGTCGCTGCTCAAGTTCCTTTCCTTCATCTTTGCTCCACCTTAGAGAAAATCCAGAAGACAAAACTCCGCCCAGATAAATCCAAGACCCTTGGGGATTTCATTGAGTCATGGAGGAAGTTTCATTCTGCCCTCCACAAAGACAACCCCAAATCAACAGACTCTTTCTACTCATCTATGCGCCTCATAGTCCCTTCCTTTGAACGAGAGCGCATGGCTTACGGCATCAAAGAGAGCATGTTAGCTAAACTTTATATTGACGTCTTAGGCCTCCCAAAGAATGGCCCAGAAGCCAATAAACTTTTGAACTACCGTGCTCCGACTGCATCCCAAGGAGAAGCTGGAGACTTTGCCGGCATGGCGTACTTTGTGCTGAAGAAACGCTGCACCAGCCAAGGAAATCTAAGCATCAAAGAAGTAAACGACTTTCTGGATTCGGTAGCAATCAACAACGCTAGCAAGCAGAAAGGTCTTGTGAAAAAGAGTCTGCTGCACATCATCACCCAGAGCTCGGCTCTCGAGCAGAAGTGGCTCATCAGAATGATTCTGAAAGACATGAAGCTCGGGATCAGCAAAGAAACTGTTCTTCAAGTCTTCCACCCGGATGCTAGCGAGCTCTATAACGTCAACACGGACTTAAACAAAGTCTGCCAGCAGCTCCACAACCCCTCCATGTCTTTAAGCGATGTCTCTATCGGACTCTTCTCCGCATTCAAGCCTATGTTGGCGGGTGTGGCGAACATCCGCAATGTGGAGAAACAGATGGGAAACAGCCCATTTTTCATTCAAACTAAACTGGATGGAGAGCGTATACAGCTTCACAAAGACGGCGACGTGTACAAGTACTTCAGTCGAAACGCTTTTGAGTACACCCAGCAGTTTGGAGCATCTCCACTGGAAGGCTCGCTGACGCCTTACATCCACAACGTTTTTAAAAGCCACGTTGTAAACTGCATCCTCGACGGGGAGATGATGGCGTACAACCCGACCACGGACATCTTCATGCAGAAAGGGAGCAAATTCGACATCAAGAAGCTAATGGAGGACTCTGAGCTACAGACGTGCTTCTGTGTGTTTGACGTGCTGTTAGTCAATGACCAGAAGCTTGGCAAGGAAACACTAAAGAAGCGCCACGAGACCCTTCAAACCGTTTTCACTCCAGTCAAGGGGAGGATACATCTGGTACCAAAGGCCGATGCCAGAACCGTGCAGGACGTGGTGAACGCCCTCAATGACGCCATTGACAGCAGAGAAGAGGGGATCATGGTGAAGGATCCTTTGTCCATCTACAAACCTGACAAGCGAGGAGAGGGATGGCTGAAAATAAAGCCAGAATATGTGGATGGCTTGATGGATGAGCTTGACCTGCTGATTGTTGGCGGATACTGGGGGAAAGGAAAACGGGGCGGTATGATGTCCCATTTCTTAGCTGCCGTCGCCGAAGCTCCAAAGCCTGGCGAGAAACCCTCAGTTTTCCACTCTTTCTGCCGCATCGGCTCTGGCTACACCATGAAGGAGTTGTACGACCTCGGTTTAAAGCTAGCCAAGCATTGGAAAGTCTATCGGAAAAACGACCCGCCAGCATCCATCTTGTGTGGAACCGAGAAACCAGAAGTCTACATCGAACCCTGCAACTCGGTCATCCTCCAGGTGAGAGCGGCGGAAATAGTGGGCAGCGACATGTATAAAACCAACTGCACCCTGCGCTTCCCCAGGATCGAGAAGATCCGCGACGACAAGGAGTGGCACCAGTGCATGACACTCGCAGAGCTGGACCAGTTCCGCGGGAAGGCCTCTGGGAAACTAGCCTCGCGGCACCTCTTCATCGATGGCAACGAACCGCAGAAGAAGAAGCGCAAGCCGCTGGTCAAACCCAAGAAGGTGGTCGGGATCATCGACCAGTTCAAGCACCAGGACCTCTCCGGGGTTACCAAGGAGACGGATATGTTCGAGGATGTCGAGTTCTGTATCCTGAATGGCACTGAGCAGCACCCCAAAGCGGAGCTGGAAAAGGGCGTGGCCAGGTAGAGAAAGCCTTTTGTGATAGTTAAAGTCAACCATGTGGCTTAGAAATGTTAAACAGCAATATATATCTTATGTAAGCTAATATTAGCTAACATTAGCCAGCACAAAATACTGATTGTACCACACCAATTAAGGTTGTAGAAGCAGAACCCCTAACTGCAATGGTGCATTTGATGTCTTATGTGATGTGATTTGGTGTTGCTACGTCTCTAAAGTCTTATTGTCACACTTTAATATAACCTTAATAATCAATTAACTAATTATTGTCTTCATCTCCTCATTAGGTGTGGTGGTATCGTGGTTCAAAACCCAGGACGGGACACCTACTGCGTGGTTGCCGGCGTGGAGAACATGCGAGTGAAGAACCTGGTTTTGTCCGACCAGCATGACGTTGTGTGGGCCGCCTGGCTGCTGGAGTGCCTGGACCAGAAGGAAGTGGTCCCATGGCAACCGCGGCACATGATCCACATGTCGCCCTCCACCAGGGAGCACTTCGCCAAGGAGTACGACAGCTACGGCGACAGCTACTTCGTGGACACGGACGAGCAGCAGCTGCGGGAGGTGTTTGCACGAATCAGCAACGAGGACACGTCAGCGGCGGTGAACATCAGCCAGGTGGAGCAGCGCTACAGCTGGGAGGACATTCCCACCAGCATGTTCAGGCCATTTGAGGTCTACATGGACAGATTCACCGACATTGGAGAACCTGGAACCGCCATACAAGCTTCCTGTTTGGACATCAGGGCGCTGGAGTTTCGCTACCATGGAGGTAAGGTGCTGAAGAAGTTGGAGGAAGGAGTCTCTCATGTCATTATCTCAGAGGAAACCAGACTACTGCACTTAAGGACTCTGAGGCGCTGCTTTAGGAAGAAGTTTAAGATCGTAAGAGAATCATGGTTGACTGATTCAATAAAAGCAGGCTATCTGCTGAATGACACTGACTACTTGGCTTAAAGAGTCCACTGGTGATGCACACTGGATACAAATCCCAGCATAGCTAGCCTTTTAAATCAGATTGTTGTGTTCCATGAGTGATTACGGCTGCATGTGATTCGTTTTTAATTAATAGGATACTGTAAAAGTCCTAAAGGCAACAACTACATTACATTTTTAAAGTTAAATAGCAATATGGAGTATTGCAATGGGAAGCTAATTAATCGCTTAGCCTTTTAATCTTTAGCCGAGCAGTTTTTAATACAAATAAAGGAAAAAAGGTTTTCGTTTTTTTAAACAAATGGAGGGGTTCAATGTGTGTTCAATTTTTGTAAGTATTAATGTACTGTCTTAAAAAGGAAGCTGCTTTCATCCTCTTAACTTTTCTGTCTTTATAGATGAATCCATTTTATTAATCCACATCAGAGATATCAAATGTAAGATTATAGAACCCGTAACAACATCTCAAAGACAAGATGTAGCATTTATTTATTTATTTAGAAGAACCAAAACGATGTGACTTTTAATGAATTTTTCTGTCGAGTCAACTGAACTGTCTGTAAAACGTGTGTAGGCCAAAACATTGGGATTATTACGCCGTTTGCCTTGTCTTGATCTGTGCCTTTTATGCTTTTGTGTCTGTCTACAAACTTCTAATAAATATTATAAATCCTTTTTAAAATAATGAACCGTATTGACTGAAATATTGTTTTTAATTTGCTCAAGCTCTTCTGCTTGCTTCAGCTGGCAGAGCGTCACCATGGGGGGGACGTTAAAACGGGTCCAGCTCAAGGCCCTCCGACAAAGAAGCGGCCATGTTTTGCTGTCTTCAGAAATGTCACCATTGTGTCTTGGGACGCGTTGATATGTTATAACCTTCATTACCATGGCCTCCAGGGTGCAGGTAGCTGCCTGTGGTGTCCTGGGCTTTGTTTCTCCTAAATGCCGCATGAATACATTTTCAAAGTAAGTGATGAGGTACCTGTTTTCAATTAATATACTGCGATCTTAGCTTTCATTGACATGTAGTAGTACTCCCAATAGGGTTTGCCATTTATTTAAACAAGTGAATACCTCGGCTCTAAGAATTAAACCCTATTTGTGAAATAAAATACTTTAGAGCAAAATTATCTTTATTATTGGTTAAGAACAAGATTTTGTGCAAGACTAAGCACTCTGTAACCCATCGCCCACTCTGGCCTATTTCCAGGTGAGTTTGACTGACAGGCCTTAATTAGAGCTACTCAACTAGTGCTTATTCCACTGTTTCTTTGCGTGTGTGAGGCTTTCGGTGTACGTGTTGGTTTGAAACGTCTAACTGCTGGTCCTCGCAGGGGCACATGATCAGTCCTAAAGATCTGGAGATGCAAACAGCTGCTGAAAGCTAGCATTGCAGAAATACCAGGTTCCCTAATGGGATAAATGCCCCTAATTAGGCCGGCCGTATGGAGAGATGCTACCAGCGAGTACACTGGACACCAGCAGAAACAAATGGTTTGGAAGCGGCCCCTAGACAACCAGCAGCTGCATGCACTCAGCTGGAATAAATGAGCCCCTGTAGAGACCAAACACAGGGTCAGGGCGGCAGAGGTTTGTCTACAGAAATTAGCCTGACCCGCCCTCAATGAAGAAATGCAGTCAAAACAACAAGAATCAAGCTCCAACTTGTGCCTCATTAACAATTGGTCATAATTATTTGTACATATTGACATAAAGCTCTGGGGAACTGGTCATTGTTGATCCATATTCTTTATTCACATTTTATGTATCATTTTGACTTGTGAATTGTCTAATATTGTAATTTTGTTACATTTATCATACATAAACTCAACATCTAATGCATTTCTGTCTGTCCTAGTGGATGGATCTGTCCTCGGGTGCTCTATTTTTCCATAAAATTCATTTTTTGGAAAGTTTTTCCATATCCAGATTGTAAAACACGCTGAAGTAAATGTATATTTTGAAAGTTGGACTATATATATAGAATTGTCTGGACGTGTAAACCACCCCGTTTGCATTACTGTGCAACAATAACACACATAGTGATAGATTACCTATCTCTACAATGTTAATTATCGGGCTTAAACTTAGTTAAGTGTTAGCCTTTCCCTTCAGAGAGTAAACAGGCTCTTTTGACGAGAGCATCTTCCCTGAGGCGGAAACCAGGTGAGTACCAACCTGTCTGACTGACAGTGTCAAGACAACAAGAATATAGGCCAAAATAATGAAGCTAGCAGTCATTTTCAAAATAAAATAATCACATACATGTACAAAAATATCATTATCTGCACACTTTTGTGACATTTCTTCTCTATAGCAGCAAGCAATTCATATTATTGTTTGATCTTTATTTTTGTAGTATAAAACAAAGTAGTTGAGATTGTTATTACTGACATCATAGGCTTTAATTTTGAAGTCATAATTACAATATTTCATGTGACATTTCAGCAGGCTCCCTCTGACTTGACGCACCTTTGGTAGAGAGCGATGCGGTGACTGCGATGCGCGCGCATAACGTCGGAGATGTGGATGTTTGTCAAGGTAGAAGGTTTATATAACACAATACCGCATGTAGGTTGAGTTGACTTTCAAAATAAAGCATCTGACTCGACATGCAGTCAGTTGTACAAATGTCTATGCATTAAAGTTATGTTTTGGTTTCAAACTTAACAGCCATTTTGTATCATGTATAATGCTTTATTAAGCTAGACTGTGTGCATTTGTTAATGCACCAGTAATCTTTAAGACATTTGGTGTAATTTTATTGTTATTTTCTAGACTTTTATTTTGAACGAGACAACCAGAAATGCTGCTGGTTATCGCTGCTGACCTGACGCAGCTTCCTGCATACACACACCGTCTCTTGGCGAACATGGCGGCAACTTGACAACGGCAGCGAGATGAAGACGGTGAGAGCTTGAAAAGGAAAAGAGGTCTGTAACAGGCTGTAGGCCCCTCCGCCGACATAAAGGCAGACAGCTTCGCCATGTTGGAAGAGGATAGCGCCCTTGTCCCTGCACGACCGAGGCCAGGGAAAACGTAAACGCGTCGGTGAGTGTTTCTAAAAACGGAGTCGAGGCTACGCAGAGGAGCGGAGCGGCGCGGAGCGGAGCTCAGGGCGGGCGGGAGGACAGCGGCTTCACCGGTCAGCCATGGAGGATGCGGCCCGTGGTCGCCAGCGTCTAATTTCCCATCCGGCCCACGCTCATTTTAATGGGAATTACCGCTGAACGCAAAGACACGCCGGGACAACCCACCACCTGACATTTGAGGGGAAGAAAACGCGAAGCGGACCCCACGTCAATGACTGTTGCGGCAGAGGAGCCCCCACGGTGGAGTCGGCCGGTTCCCAAAATATGACCAGGGGTGCTGGGACGTGTTGGCAGCAAGAAGATGACGACGGCTTCCAAATCTGGCTAGAGCCCCCCCGCGACAACCAAAAGCCATTCACCGACTCAGAGAGGGCGCAGAGATGGCGACTGTCCTTGGCATCTCTCTTGTTCTTAACCATCCTCCTCTCTGATCACCTGTGGTTCTGCGCCGAGGCCAAACTGACCCGGACCCGGGTCAAGTTCGCATCCTCCCACCTCCTCTCACCCCAGACCCACTCAGCACACAGCAGCCTCAGAGGAAACCCAGATGCTATTTTTATAGGAAACTCTACCAAACATTTGTGGCGGCTCGAAACTTGCCACCAGGAGGATAGTTTATCTAAAGACTGCTTTACTTTCGCAGATGCCGACCATTTGTGCGGGGGCCTTTCCGACCAAGAGGGGACGCGGGCTGTAAATATGAGCGATTTGTACCTTTCCTTTTGTAACTCCTACTCTCTACAGGATTTGTTTTACGGGTCGACAAATCCAGACAATTTGAACTGCAGCCTCGACGTGCTCGGCAATGGCGACATCACCAGATGCAGCCTGTGCGTCCAGGCGTACCAACGCTACGACCAGCACGCCCAGGAGAAATACGAGGACTTTGAGCTCCTGACTCAGAAATATGAGCCGGGGGCATATTCAGTGAGGACGTGCATGGAACAGTGCAAGGTAGGCTGCAAAGGGGAAGGGGGCGGGTGGTGGGATGGATGGAGGGAGGGAGGAGGGGGTAGATGTGGTGGCCATCTGTTGATTTGGGCCCGGATAGATGCCAGTTTTTGGTCCTCCTCCTCCTGTCGCCATGGAGACGGATGACAGATTCAAGGAGACTCCCGGGCCTCATGTTCATTCATCTCCTCATTGTGTTTAGGCCCCATGCTAATGTGCAGATGGAGGCCCTGCTAGTGTTTTCTCCCCCTGTTACTCCACGCTCTTTGACATTGAACCCCGCCTCCAGCTCTTAATCCCTCTGATCGGCCATCGATAACCCGGATAGGCTCGTAAGACTAATGCTGGAGCTTTTACAGCTTTACAACAATTTAATGAGCAGGAAGCAGGCTTGTGCCATATGCAAACAACTGTGGGAGCCTGTGTGTGCTGTCGCAGTCCGCCAGGTGTTCATCATGGCCGCCCACTCCATATCGAGAGCATTTCATTAAAGTCAAGAGGTGGTTTCCCTGCCTAATGTGGCGGAAGGCTTTCTTCACCTCGACTTGTGTTTGCTCATTAAGAGGCCCACGCGGACAGGCCTCTCGTGTGTCTGTAGGCCCATGCTTCATGTTTGATCGCCAGGCACTGTTTACCAAGGTGGGTCAAAGTGCGCTGTAAAGGGTTTCCGGGATACTGCTGAGCCCCGGCAGCGCCATTCAGCACCGCGGAGAGCTGGGATCTGTCCGCGGTGCTGAATGGCGCTCCATTCACAGAAGCCCTGGCCAATCCCAGATGGCCTCCATTCACCCAACCGGTGGCACAGACACACACACAGGCGTCAAAACGCGTCTCCAATAACGCCATCTGCCCTCTTATACAAACCCAATGCATGTGGATAGAGGCACATGCATGCAAACTGGGCCTGGTTTACATGGATAGCTTGTATTTAGACAGAATCCCTGTTGTGTGTTGTATTCATCAAACAGTGATGAGCTGTCTTTGATATTCTCTTCCTGTTGGATGTCTTAATCAACACAGGCTTTTTATAAATGATAATTCTATTAATCACATGTTTTCAAAACTTCTTACATGTTTACACCAATTGTGTACACAAAGGAGCTGGAGGCTGCTCCACTTCCTTCACTTCCTACCTAGATTGTGCTTAAAATTTCACAGTTGAACACAATGCTCTTAAAGCTGTCTTTGTGTTTTTCTAAATAGCTGGATAAAGTAAAACTGCAAACAAATCTATATATATAGCTTTTGCTTTAGTCAAAACAAGACATTAGAAGGCATCAACTTGTGTAATGGCAACTTTTCAGGTCAACTTTTCCACATTTGTATAACCTTACATTGACTAAAGGATTAATGGAGAAAAGATGAATCGATGATAGATAATAACAATTATTTAAACCCAGGTCTGATACATCTCATAAATCACCATCACTGGAAGCTTTATATTCTCCTTCCAGTATCTCAAAACTCGCTCTGCATACAACAACTCATGTTGAACTAGTAAAGCCTGACCTGAGCCCCTTCAGAGTCTTACTTCAAGGCTTGTCGGTTGCTCTAGAATATGCAAAAGCGATGACAATGGCAACCAGGGAATGCAGCGTTTTTTAAAAGAAATATCCTCTCCAGCAGGTATCTGAGGAAATCT